CGTCAATGTCCTTTTCGCCGAGTGTTGTCTTCCGCTCGAGTTGGATCTTTCTGGCTAAACCGAGATAGGGGCTGTTCTCCGACGCAGCAGGTCTCCCACTTGAGCCGCTACTGGACAGAGCAACAGCTCCAGGCTTTACGTAGGAGGATACCTTGCGTACGAGCTTCGGCTTGCTACGTTGTGGCGTCCCTGCCGACTGTTGTCCGATTCGTGTCGAAGGAAGGCTTGCTATATCAACTACAGTGGCAGCCTGCGTGTCAAGACGCCGCTGCGCGTGAGCTGAAAAGTTGCCCCCGAACGAGTGGAGTAGCTGCATCAAAGAGCGGAAACTTGTAGCCGACAAGTTCAAATTAACGCTGTCGACGCCTCCAAAAAGCTTCAGAAGGGGAACACTGGGATCGTCAGGCGTGACGCTCATGTAAAAACTGAACGCCAAAGAGGTTTTCTTGAGAAGATAGTGCCACGAGGATCTCTTGCCTGATTGAGTTCGCATGCGGAAAACGTTTCGGACAATACCGTTGTTTCTCCCATCGATAATTTGCACTTCAATCCCCGAGATACTGATCTCCAGGACATCATAAAGACTCTCCTCGGGCGTAGTAACACCAGTCTTCCGACTTTCAGGCGATTCCGTTTCTCCAAAGTCGCTCGAAACGCCACCTTCCTCATAATTATCACCCGGGTGCTTCGTCTGCGCCTTCAAATGACCCAGGAAAACCAGCAAACTCACTTCGTCTCCAATAGGAATTCCAGTGTCCGATGGCGGCGATTGTATAATGTTGATCAATGGGGATATCACATCCAAGCGCACGTCTACCTTTGTTCTTCGAGCTATGGCATCCCGCAACTGAGCCGTACTGTATCGCTGCAGACTCTGCGCTCGCTTCCACGCACTGTGCTCAAGCCCCGACAAGTCTACGTTTACAGGACGAGAAAACACCGCCACCACATCGAGAAGAAACATCAAGTTGACGTTACACTTGATCGGTTGGGTAACGAGTGACACCCGGAGTAAATGGGCTGCAGCAGCGTCTTCCGACGACGTCTCTCGTTTCG